CCCCCGAGTACTCACCATTACACTTAATACATTTGTCAGATCTGCCATTCCATGCTTGCAAACATTTTTCAAACTCATCTGTTTGGATGACTGACAGCACCTCTCTCATATTTTCCTTCACTTCCTCCACACGGTCAAATTGCTGTCCTTTCATGTCCCTCTTCATTCAAGGAAATAAAAAGAAGTCACACAGAGTGAGGTCAGGTGTATGAGTCAAGCGAGGCATGATGTTTTTGCCCAAAACTGGCGCACTGAGATGGCTGCATGAGCAGGTGCATTGTTATGGTGGTAAAACCAGACCCCCTTCTGCCACCTCCAAATCGGGCCTTTTTTGTCTCACACTGTTAGCAATGTTTTCAGAACCTCTAAATTGAAAGCTTGATTAACAGTCTGATCTGGTGGAACAAACTCTAAATGCACTGCGAGTTGACATTTGATCCATTTGGGAAGTTGACGAATATCCATAATAAGGTTTGTCATCAATTGACATTTCACCTTCTTTAAAATGAGACAACCACTTGCACACTTGAGTTTTTCCCATAGCACTGGCCTTGTAAGCTGTGTTGAAAATCACAACAGGTTCTGTGGCTTTTTCCCCCAAACAGGAAACAAAATGTAACAACCACACACTGTTCTCTTAAATCCACCATCATCAAAACAAAGGTTTGGGCAAAACAGCTTTTACGAAAAAATTCACTGTGAACAGAAAGAACCTTCCCAGGTGACACCACTGGGTGCACTGGCTCAGAACAAGTTGCTTGATGCTCGCCCAGCAGGAAAAATGCATAATACGAAAGCTCTTCCCGATGGAGCTTTTTTCCAGTGTTTTTTTTTTTTGCGGGGTACCCCCTCGTATGGTAGAAGCTGGCTAGTCCTTGATGACACCAAAGTTGCCGTGGGAGAGTCCCGGAGGGAGAGGTGAGAGGGCCAAAGAGAAAGTCTCTTTGACAGAACTTGGGCCGTGTTGTCTGTGCCAGCATCCAGCAAACATGGCTTGCAGGCCAGCCCCAGCCACTGGCTGACTGTTTTATGGTCTGTGGCCTTAAAAGGGATTATGGATTGTTCAATACTGGTGGTGGGCTAGGGGTGGCTTGGGGGCAGAAATCACAAGAAGAGTATTTAATGGAACGTGTATGAAATTCAAATCCATTGTCCATGATAGCATCTTAGCGAGGGCGATCCCCATTCATTTCCATACTGTGTCCACCTACTCTCACTCTCTGATGGCAACGCTGAGTTAGTCCAAGAGACTTTATGCTCTGCAAAACCACACCATTTACTTCAGTGCTTTACTCTAGAAGCTTACTGTCCAGAAGATAGTTTTCCAACTTTTCGAGCAAAATGGTTGAGGGCCCCAAAGACAGTTTGTTTGGAGAGTCCACCAGCAGCTCCTCGGTAGAAAGACTGGGCTCTCTACTCCTGTAAACAGTTCCAGTCTCGGAAACCCACTGGGGGTCGCTCCGAGTCAGCACTGACTCCATGACAGAGAGAATGAGAAGCAATTCCCAGTTGGAAATTAGGACTGAAGAAACAGTGGGAAATGCACCTAGTTATTTAAAAATAACAATAAGGAATCTATTAAATGTGAGCATGAATAACGCATTTTAAAGAAAAACAACTATAATTTCTGAAAAAGAGATTAGGGATAAGGATGGCATTGCTCTGCATTTGTAAAAGTATCTTTAATGGAAAACAGCTGGAGTCCCATTTCCACTTGTGGATCAAGAGGGTTACAATATATAGCCTATGTGGAAGCCTCTGAAAAACTCCATTAGACAAGCATGAGGACAAGTAGGAGAGGCAAATACCATCATCCCATTGGTTACCCATTGGGCTGCTAACTTCAAAGTCAGTAGTTCAAAAGCACCAGGGGAGAAAGAGGAGACTTTCTGCTCCCATTGAGAGTTACAGTCTTGGAAGCCGACAGGGGTAGTTCTGCTGTGTCCTATGAGGTCACTAAGAATCGGAATCCCTCGATGGCACTAAGTTTGGTTTGGGAGAAAGATGGGCCTTTCTGCTCCCATAAAGAGTCAAGGTCTTGGAAAGTCATGGGAGCAGCTCTACCCTGTCCTCGAGTGTCCCCCGCCTCCATGGCAGTGAGCCATGCCGTCCCGATGGTCCCACTCTCCTGAAAGAGCCTCAGGAGCTCCAGGGGTCTCCGGGCAGCACTTTGAGGGTCACTGCTCCTGGACAGTATTTCAAAAGATCTGCCTTATCATGAGGTTGAAAAATTGCAAAGGATCCAGGGCCCCTGCTTTTCACCGCAGAGTCCCAATGACCCCACCCCTGTCCTGCAGGCATGCTCCCCGTGGTCTCCACCCGAGAGCTGTCCAACTTCGAGCTGACCCTCAGCCCCGACGGCACAAGAGTTGGCAACCACAAGTGCTCCAACCTCCTGGATTACACTGAAGTCAAGACTCACCATGGCTTCCTGACGGACGCCACCAAAAACCCAGAGATCATCGGGGAGACGTATCCGTATCAGTACAGCTCCTCCATCCGAGGGGCCAGCACCCTCCGCTTCTACCGCAACCTGAACCTGGAGGCCTGTTTGTGGGAGTTTGTCAGCTACTATGACATGTCTGAGCTCCTGGCTGACTGTGGAGGGACCATTGGAACAGACGGGCAGGTAAGGATGTCTCCCATCGGGGCTTTGCTTTCTCCTGGGTTCCCTGGATGAAATGGTGGGTTTTTTCCGTTACATAGATTTGGACCAAGTCTTAATTGCTATCTGATTGAGAGAGATCATGAGTTAATTGGTCTCCAGTTATTATAATTGTCATCGAGGATATGAAAACCATTATCTTTCTCTATATTGAAAGGATGCTATAGAGTTATGACTTTAAGCCTCAAATCTGCATTAAAAAACTGTTCTCTACAAATCCATTTACAGATCGCTCTTCCAAGGGTATATCATTGTATGTGTACATGCATATGAAAGTGGTTCCCATTGACTGTTAATTCCAACTCGTAGCTGCACCATGTGTGTCCCAGGAGAGCTGTGCTCCGTAGCGTTTGCAGGAGCTGATTTTCCAAGAGAGCCCCCCCATCCCCCACCCACCCCCAGCCTACCCCAGTCTTTCTTCTGAAGTGCCTGTCCTCCAGCCTCTTAGTTGGCAGCCAGGCTCATGAACCATTTGGATTCGATGGCAACCAGGAACCACCTAATCTGAAATTGTTCATTCTAAGGGTCAGTCTTACTGTCGTGCTTCACCGTCCACCCCTCTCTCCTTTTCAGCCCCCTGTTTTACTGCCTTCCCTTTGTTTCCTCCTCTCTGCCCTATCACCATCATTAATATAGGCAACAATTTTCTCATTCAAAGCATATTGCTCTTTCTGCTCCGCACTTGCAGACTCTTCTTCATAGCCATGGGCCAACACTTGCACGCAAAATACATCTCCACAAAAACCCTCCCTTTTCTCGTCATCACGATCCACAGAGGAGCTGTGCAAAGCATACAGAAGCATCTAGATTTGTCCCGGCTGGAAAGAAAAGAATTATTAAGTGGGTTTATACATGAAAGTGTTGTAGTTCAAGGCTTTCTAGCTGAGACCCATTTCATCTGTACTGCACTCCAAGGGGGACCCAGTGGGGCACAGTGGGTTACCTGTTGGACCGCTAACCGCAGGTTAGCCTTTCAAAAGCATCAGTTGCTCTGCGGGAGAGAAATAAGGCTTTTCACTCCCATAAGGACTGCGGTCTCCAAAGCCCACAAGGCAGTTCTACCCCATCCCATAAGGTCAAGTTGAGTCAGAATCAACTCAATGACAGTGAGGTTTTTTTTAATTCCTAAGGTGTTCAAATATTAGTAAGGAAAACTGTCAAAGATACCTCCCTATCAATTATTCTTACAGCAAAGCTGTGAAACTTGATTAGTTCAACATTGGTTGATGTTGAAAGGTGGTATATATGATGTGTGAGCTATCAGGCTCCAAGCTAATGAGGTATTGGCTCAGTTATCTAGTGCTTCTGTAACAGAAATATTATAAGTAGGTGGCTCTAAAAAACAGAAAATTATCATCTCACCTTTCAGGAGGCTAGAAGTCTGAATTCAGGGTGTCAAATTTAAGGGGAAGACATTCTCTCTGTGTGATGGCCCTTGTTTCTGCTCCCGGTGGTCTCCCTGTGAGTTAGCCTCTCTCTCCCTCATCTCTCCTTCCATGATCTGTTTCTTTCATGTCAAAAGACACACCCTACAGGAATCCTGCTCCATTGACATAACAAACACAGCCCATTGCCAAGCAGGAAGATTACCACAGGCATAAAACCCAATGTTGTAGTTTATTCTGACCGAGTGAGATTTGTAGCAGTTTATGGGAGTAGACAGCCTCGTCTTTCTCCCAAGGAACAGCTGGTGGATTTGAACCACCAACCTTGCCATTAACAATCCAATGCTAAATGGCCAGTCCCACCAGAGTTCCTTAAACATAGGCATGGAGGTTTAGATTTATAACACATAATTTAGGGGACCCATTCAATCCATAGCAGGCATTATCTTAACCACTTGTTCTAAAGCAATAGGATTAAGTCATTTGATTAATAGTAAATTCCCAAGGAAAACATCAAAACGACAGTACAAAATGGTAGAGAAAAACCCTGGCTTTGGAAATGGGCAAAGGTAGGCTCAAATCTGGCTCTGACATTTCCTAGTTATCACCCTTGGCAAGTTATTTAAGCTTCGATAGAAGTTCATTCTTCCATTCGATCTTCCCCAATCTGTCTTGGACCCAAAAAAGAAACACTAAAGAAAAAAAATCTTACCACAGGATAAAAACAATGCTTCATAATAATAAACCCACCTCAGTTTTTTCCTTTACAGATTGAATAAATATTCCAGATTAATTAAGTAAATACCTCTAGTTCCTCTAACTCTTCCTCACCAACCCTGTTTTCAATCTGCTGTTAAATCCTTTCTACTTTCTCTGGTTGTTCTTCCCTAAAGATTGTGCTTAAATCATCGGCTCTATTGGGTGCAAAGGGAGCCCTGGTGGCATAGTAATTATGAGTTGGACTCTTAACCCCAAGGTCAGCAGTTCAAAACCACCAGTGACTCTGTGGGAGAAAGATGAGACTTTCTACTCCCATAAAGAATTATAGTCTTGAAAACTCACAGGGGCAGTTCTACCCTGTTCTATAGGATCGCTATGAGACAGAATCAACTGGATGGCAGTGAGATTGGAGGGGGTTTTGGTATGTGCCTGTAAATCTTCTAAATAAAATAAATATGTATTGTGTTCCTTTTTTCACAGATGAAGATGCCCAAGTGAACTGTGTGTGTGTGTGTGTGTGTGTGAACTCTATGTTAATGAAGCTTTTATATGGTGCAAAAGGCATTGTGATTATAATGTGCTTACAATAGCACAGTTTATCCTAAGGGCTTCTGCTAAGTATCCTTGGTGGTAACTGAAGGTCAGATAGTAACAACTATTTAATCGATCAAAAATTAAACGAAGGGAAAACAGTGTTGTAAAATGCCACAATTTCCTTTTCTCGGTGATTAACCAAGATCCCCAGCTAAGTGAAATGAGAAAAACTTCATAAAATTAGGTGCACTTAGAAAACAACAGTGAGTCGAGCTGATAAAATTGACCTTCTCATTTCAGGTCTTGAACCTGGTGCAGTCCTACGTGACCCTGCGGGTCCCCCTGTATGTGTCCTATGTTTTCCATTCTCCCGTGGGGATTGGAGGGTGGCAGCATTTTGACCTGAAGTCCGAGATGCGCCTGACCTTTGTGTACGACACTGCCATCTTGTGGAACGATGGCATTGGCAGCCCACCCGAAGCTGAACTCCAAGGTGGGTGACTAGGACTTGGTGGAAGTCACTAAATCGTCCTACTGATGTAAATGTTCAGGCCACCCCTGAGTGATGAACATAAAGTCGCAGTGGTTGTAATAACAAGTGGGCACTGCTCTGCAATATTGTTTTTACTGTATTCTGGTTGAAGGAGCCCCCTGATCGCACTGTGATTTGGGCATCGGGCTGCAAACCACCAGGCACCGTGCAAACCCAATGCCACTACCTTGGAGAAGGCTGTGCTTTTATAAAGTTGTGCAGTCATAGAAACCCTCACTTGAGGTTCTAGGAGCCTCACGGGCTGAGTGGGCTACAAGCTGAGCTGCTAACCACAAGGTCAGTCGTTCAAAACCATCAGCCCCTCCTTGGGAAAAGCATGAGGCTTTTCAACCCCCAGGAGCAGCTCTACGGTCCTACAGGGTCGCTGAGTCAGTATTGCCTGGAAGGCAGTGAGTTTGGCGGTTTGGGGAGTTACTCGTTGCAATCAACTCATGCCAGTGGGCTTGGTTTGACTTGGCTTGCTTTGTTAAATATTTGGTCATGTATCTGGAAGGGTCCTATGATGTGTCTGTGCACGGAAAGGCACGCCAGCTACTCCATCCAGAGACAAGCACCAACCGTAGCAGCAGACCATGCTTAACGGTTGCCATTTACCTACAAACTCCGTTTAGAGACAGATTGTGGGGCAGAACTCATTCATGACCTGGGACTGCCTGTACTTCGCAGGATTGATTGATTGATTGATTGATTGATTGATTGATTTTACCGCACCTGAAAATGACAGAAGAGACTTTCGGCTTTACATTTGCAGGACATGTGATTTGTCATTTTCTACAAGGCTGTGGAAGGCTCACGGCCCATCTTAGGCTACCGATCTTTGTGTCACACAATAGAGTCTGTATTCCCATGATTCTAAGCACACGTAATGGTAGTTCCACTCAAAAATGCAGGAAGAGCCCAAAGGAAAAAGCCATTCATTCATTCCTGAAAGTGGGAGAGGTACATTTTTTAAAGTCCAATATAAAGTGTGTTCTTGCTGCTACTTCTGACTCTAAACCAAGTAGGCGAGTCATCTCCAACAAGTTCCCTAACCTTTCCGAGTGACAGACCAGTCTATCTGCACCCCTCCACCGCTCTGCTCTTCGGTGATGCTTCCGCTTGACGGAAGCGCATTGAATAATGGTGGTGAGTGCTGACAGTTCGCAGACCCACAAAAGTACAGTGTTTAAGAACGCACTGCCACCTAATCAATTCCTGATCATTGTGACCCTGTAGGACAGCAGAGAATGCCCCTGTGGGTTTCCAAGACTGTTAGTCTGTATGGGAGCAGCAACCGTTTGGATAGCAGCCTACAGCATACATAGCCCATACATAGCCCACTATACCATGTGTTTCCATCACAATTTCTGAATCATAATTCAAAGTCCACAAGCAGAAAATATTTAATCTGTTGGTACATTCCTTTTAAGATATATGATGTTTGTGGAAATTGTTCATTAAATTTTAATTTTACTTTTCCAGGAACTTTTTTTTTCTTTTTCCTTTTAATCATTTTATTGGGGGCTCTTTTAGTTCTTTTAACAATCCGTACATCCATTGTGTCAAGCACATTTGTACATTTGCTACCATCATCCTTTGTAAAATATTTTCTTTCTGCTTGAGCCCTTGGTATCAGCTCCTCATTTTTTTCCTCCCTCCATCAGCCTCCCACCCTCATGAACCCTTGATAAATTATATTATTATTTTCATATCTTACACCATCCACTGTTTCCTTTCACCCATGTTACTATTGTTCATCGCCCAGGTTGGGGGGTGATGGTAATACGTTGATCATTTTGATCCGTTCTCATTTTCTCTCCCCACTGTCCCCCTACTCTCATGGTATTGCTACTCCCATTACTGTTCCTGAGGGGTTTATCTGCCTGGAATCTGTATGTCAAGAGCTCTTATATGTACCAGTGTACATGCTCTGGTCCAGCCAGATTTGTAAGGTAGACCTGGGGTCATGATAGTGTAGGGGAGGAAGCCTTAAAGAACTAGGGGGATGTGGTGTTTTTTGTCAGTGCTATACTGTACCCTGGCTGGCTTATCCCTTCCTTGTGACCCTTCTGAGGGGATGTCCAATTGTCTAGAGATGGGATTTGGGTCTCCTCTCTGCCCCACCTCCTTCGCATCCACATGATTGTTTTGTCTTCTGATGCCTGATACCTGATCCTGTCAACACCTATGATCACACAGGCCGGTGTGCTTCTTCCATATGTGTTGCTTCCCAGCTAAATGGTTACTTGTTTACTTCAAGCCTTTAAGATTCCAGATGTTGTATGTTTTAATAGCTGGGCACCATCAACTTTCTGCACCATGTTTGCTTATGTACCCATTTTGTCTTTAGCGATCATGTCGGGAAAGTGAGCATCACAGAAGGCCAGGATATTAGAACAAAGTGTTCTTGCATTGAGGGGGGACTTGAGCAGAGGCCCAATATCTTGTCTGCTATCTTAATACTTAACACATAAATATATGTCTATAGATATGTGTCCATATGTTATATATAAATTTATTTACATATGTATGTGCCTATCTTGATACCTCTATCAATGTCCTTTACCTTCTAGTTCTTTCCTCTATTTCTCCAAGAACTTTTTAGGCCCCTCAGACATCGCTGTTATTCTAATTCCATGTAAGCCTGTAGCACTTGGTATCTTGCCTTAGAAAATGTATACTTGAGTGGATCTTCTTTTCCTCCAACAATAAATATTCTTGTTTCTTTCATACAATTGAAGTGAGCCAAAGTTTGTCAAACTGCTGAACTTCTGGGGGAAACTTCAGAGTTTTCTTTCCACCTATACATTGGGAATCATTCTTTAGAAGACACACCTCTTTTCCACCTTCGTCTCTAAAGCGCCACGATTTTAACACGTGGGTTATGTCTTTCCATCAGCAACTCGATTTTTATAGACTGAAGCTTATACAATCTTGTCCTGTTCAAATCTGTTGGAGCAAGGGTGCTTCAAAAACTTTGTGGGAAAATAGAATGAAAATATCATTTTTCCACAAACGCTTGGACACACACCCCCTCATGTATTTCATATTGACTTCACTCATGTTGCCTAACTTTATGCCCTCGAGTGGGGTAGAGGATTATGAGTTGGGCTTTCATCTGCATGGTCAGCAGTTTGAAACCACCAGCTACTCTGAGGGGAAAAGAGGGGTTTTTCTGCTCCCCTAAAGATTTACAACGTAAGAAACCCACTGGGAAAATTCTGCTCTGTTCTGCACGGTCCCTAAGAGACCAAATCAACTCGATGGCGGTGGGGTTTTTTTATTGTTTTTTAGTTTTCTAAACACTTTTTTCTCATAGAGAGGAAAACAAAAATACTTTCATCTTTAATTCTCATCACTCAATTGTTCAGATTACACTCTGCCTAAAACACATAATGATGAGAAACACAGGAGCTAATATTTTGGAGAATCTGTGCATCAAGAGGGCGTCAAACCTAATTTCCACTCTTGTGTGCTGTCTTCCATTGTAGGTTCTCTTTATCCCACCAGCATGCGTCTCAATGATGAGGGACGCTTGGTCGTGAACTTCAAGACAGAAGCTCAATTCCATGGCTTGTTTGTGCTGTCACATCCCGGTAAGACCCACTCCACTTACACAATCACTCTACTCACTGTGGATACTCCAATACCAGTTGTCATTGAATAGACTGGCTCAGTGTGACACATACACACACACACACACACACACACACACACCCCTGTGTGTCAGAGTAGAACTACGCTCTGTAAGGTTATTGATGGCTGATGTATCGACGCACATGGGCTGGTCCTTTTCCTGACTCACCTCTGAGTAGACTTGAACCTCTAGCCATTCCAGAAGCAACCAAGAGCTGCCCCCGTGGGTATCTGAGGCCATAAACCTTTAGGGGTATAGAAAGCTTGGTCTTTCTCCCTCAAAGTGGCTGGTGGTATCAAAGTTGAGCTTACAGTTAACAGCCCAACAAATACAATATTTGTATTCATAATGCCAAGGATATGCATTCTCCATTCAAATGGCCCCCCTTGGCTTCGAAGCTCCATTTCAAATATGCATATATGTCATGATCTGCTGTAAAGGCTTGATCTACAAAATTCCTATGAGTTCTGTCTCAGCTTTTCGAGAATATGCTAAATAAGTTCGGTAAACTTAAGAGGAGACCTCACTGAGTCCGTTGTGAAAGCTTTCTTAGCTAAAGAAAGCAGCAAAGCAATCCCTTTCCCAGCTTTGCTTCGGCTGCACAGAAGTTGAATTCCAGCTGAGTGAGTCCCTTCAGAAAACAGGCTCCCTACTGGGCACCGAAAGAAACATTTATGTTTAGCGCCAGTAGAGGGACTTTGCTTTCTCACTTAGTTTTCACACATGTTCATTCATTATCATCAGGGCTATTTCCATATAAGTTTGTGCTTTGAATAGAATACACACATGCATTAAAAACAAGACAGGAACTCTGGTGGCGCAGTGAGTTACGCATTGAGCCACGAGGCCAGCACTTCGAACCCACCAGCTGCTCCACGGGAGAAAAATGAAGCTCTCTACTCCTTTAAAGATTTAAAGTCTTGGGAACCCACAGGAGCAGTTCTCCCCTGCCCGGAAGAGTCACCATGGGTCAGACTTGACTCCACGGCCCTCCAGTTCCCTTCTGACTCATGGCAACGCCATGTGTCCAAGGAGAACTGGGCTCCATAGATTTTTAAGGGCTGATTTGGGGGGAGGATGACGGGGCTTGAGAAAGTCTTTTGTCCAGGAACTCTCAGAAGGCTCCTGGTCGATCAGGAGGCCTTGCTTCCTCGGCCTGGCTCAGTAGAGTCCAATCTCCAACCTTTCTGTTAGTGGCTGTGCACTTAACTGTTAGCACCATCCAGGGGTTCTAACCAATAAGGCAGCAGGCAATAAGGCCCCATGACTAAGTTCTCTTTTTTTAACGAGTATTTTATTAGAAGTAATTTCTTTTTAATCCCGCTCTCCAAACGGCAACCTGCTTTGCACGTTTTTCCAGCCTGCCATTGTATGGCAGATACCGTGTCCACTGCTGTAGAGATGATTCTTACTCTTAGCGATGACCCCACCAATAGAAGAACCAAAAGCCAAGCCCTGCCATCAAGTTAATTCCCAGGACCCTAGAGTACACAGCCTCATCGTTCTCCCAAGGAGTGGCTGGTGGGTTTGAACAGCCAATCTTAAAGTTAGCGGTCCAATGCTTACTGGCAGTACAACCAGAGCCCCTTCTATGTAATAGCGCCACCCACCCACCACTATTCAGACTCATAGCAACCCTAGATAAGGTCTTTGGGGCTATAAATCTTTACAGGAGCTCCCAGCCTCATCTTTGTCATGCAGAGTAGCTGGTGGGTTTGAATCACCAAACTTTGCAGCTAGCAGCCCCATGCTTACAAGATAACCAGGAAGGAAAAACAAACTAACGGACTGTCTCCAAGTCGATGCTGATGCCTACGGAAAATCGTTTACTCAGTACTTTCCATAATCTGCCTTATGCTGGGCATGAGCTCTAACAAAGAAGAGAGCAGGTGAAAGCTTCCAGAAGTAAAAGGTTTTGAGCTGGAGTAAATCATCATGACCTCTTGGGATTGCCAGTCCTGGAAAAAGACTGTCTCCTGGCCTTGCTAGTCCCCTTCCACATGCCCACCTTTCGAATAAGCCAAATCTGTGTTCAGCACAGGTGCAGGCAGTCTAATGAAGATGAGATTCCATTCATAAATTGGGTTGGTCTGGCTGTGTTGACACCAATAGGCTATTTTGAGCGCAGCCACGGTCTCAGTGCACAATGAATGCATTCACGTCCACCGTTATTACACCGCGGTGCCTCCCCGGAAAGCAGCCCTGAGCAAGCCGGGCGCTTCTGCACAATTATCTTTTGTCAGAGTTATTGGGTGGAAAGAGCTCTAGGTTCCGATTCTAAAGAGCCACATCCTAGTTGTGGGGCCTTGGGAGAGTCACATTGTCCCTCCAGTCTGGTTCTTTCATCTGTAGAATCAGGGTAATTGCTGCTCCGAGGGAGAAAGAGGAGGCTTCCTGCCCATCAGGAGTTACAGTCTCAGAAACCCCCGGGGCAGTTCTGCCCTGGCCTCTGGGATCGCTGTGAGTCAGACTCCCCTCCATGCCAGTGAGTGGTCTTCTCGGCACACACATTGTTTGAATAAATGCAACGAAAGTGTTCTGGGAATTTTAAACACTACTTGAAATAATTATTTGTCATTTTTTAAATTTGTTTTTGTTTTTGTTTTTATTGACTGGGTTTTGAGTTGGGTTGCTAGGCACAAGGTCAGCAGTTTGAAACCACCACATGGTCCAAGGGAAAAAATGAGGCGTCCTACTCCCATAAAGAGTCACAGGGTTGGAAACCCACAGGAGAAGTTCTACCCTGCCCTCTAGGTCCCTATGAGTTGGGATTGAGTGATGTCAATGAGCTTGGCTTCCTTTATCTTCTTGAGTGGTGGGTGGGAGTTTGAACCGACCCAAGAGCACCTTAGAACACAGGCCAGGTCTTTCTGCTTCAAAAAAGTCACAACTTTGAAAATGCTGTGGAACACAAGTCTCTTCTGACACAAGCCTCGAGTTACCCCAAGTCAAAAAGAAAAAAAAATTGACTCAACAGCCATGAACAACAAAATGATGGTCCTCTCCATCACTTTCCCAGCATCCCTCACAAGCTCGGTGATTATATCTGCTGACCATCCGGGCCTCACCTTCTCCCTCCGCCTCATAAGGAGTGAGCCAACCTACAACCAGCCGGTCCAGCAGTGGAGCTTCGTGTCCGACTTCGCAGTAAGTGGCCCAGGCTCTCGGGCCGCATGCCTTTACTCCACAGGGTCCTCGGATTTGCAAAATGGAAACCATAAAGGTCTTTCTTTTCGCTCCAAGGTCCGGGACTACTCAGGGACCTACACCGTGAGGCTGCTGCCGTGCTCCACCCCACCGCATCAGAGCTACCGCCTGCCACTCACCTGCAACCCCAGGGAGCCTGTCACCTTTGACCTGGACATCCGCTTCCAGCAGGTGTGTCTCACTGGCCTATGATGTGGTGGTTTACTTGTAGAAGGAAAAAGTGTTTTCCTCTGCTGGTGACTTTGAGAAAAAAGACAGGAAGGAAGGAAGGAAGGCGAGGAGGAAAGAACCGGCTCTCTCCATTATTGGAGCAGGACCTGGATGGTTACAGATAGTTGGCAGAGGAGCCGAGGCCTTCTGTTGCTTTGCTTTGCTTCATTTGTATCTGCTCTGATCATCCCTCCTCCTGGAGTTTGTGCCTTGGAGATTGGAGAATTTTCTTGAGAGCCATTCCACACGTCTCCACCTGCACGGAGGAGGCCATCCTGGTGCTCAGACCACCTCGGAGCCCCTAATTGTCATTATTTGCATGGATTGAGAACAGGCACGGGCATGTTGCTCTTCACAGATACTGGGCTTTGTACAAGGTGATGTGCGGAGGCAACCCCTGCGTTGAGCAAGTCTTCCCTGGCCATTTTCTTTCCGTGAGCAGGTGCTCCCATCATGTCTCTGTGTCGCCTTCTGGTAATTCTCCCAATAGTCAAACTTTTCTGGCAATGCTATTGCACACTTCCTAGACTACAGTAGGGTCGAAGCACAATTGTGTGGGCACTGGGAAACCAAGTCCAGCATGTCACTCACTCTCATGGGATAGTCACATGATGGAGGAGGGGACCTAGAGCCGAAGCCACATGGTAGCTTCGCACGGACCATGTTCCCACAGGTCCCTTCCACTGGTCGCTGCTGAAATTTCTCCAACTCTTGGCAACCCCAGGCCTACCAGAGGAGAACAGTGCTCTTTGATGGGGGGCAAGTGGGGAACGTTTTTGTTTCTGTCTTTGCTTTTTTACTTTTAGAAACTGTCTCAGCCGGGTTTGTTAAGGTTTAACTTCCACACAGTAACACACAGTTGGGTGAGTGTGAACAAAGGCAACCGGTCCTAGAACCATCAGCACAAATCTAGATGTGTATAAGCCACCCCACTCCCCCCCCACCCCCCCCCCCCCCGCTGCCGCGGAGGGGGGGGGGCAGGGTGTTCCACCAGACCCTTTTGCAGCAAAACTCTGGTGACTGTGTTAGGCTGGCTTGGCTAGACAAACAAAGCCAATGGCACTCATATATGGACAAGAAAACTTTATATCAAGAAGTAATTTTATATCAAGAAAGCATGCCAGTCCAGTGTAGCTCAAGTCATGGGTCTGATGATAGCTGGAGCCCTCTCCAGACTCACGTAGCGGCGGGCTGGGGAAACAGAAAGGGGAAGCGGGAAGCAGGGAGATCACAGGCTGGTGGGTGCAGAGTCTCATGAATCCCAGGTCGGTGGGAACATGACAGGGTGCAGCTCCCAGGATGAGTGCCCCCACCCCTAGGAGTATCCATGGAGGCAGACACAGACTCCAAACAAGGAGGAAGGTGAAGGGCAAAACAGAGAGTCTCGCTGTCTATCTTATTAAAAAGCCACACCCCTAAGGAAGCGTCACTAGGCTACCACTTGATTGACAGGTTGGACTCCACCCCTATATCCACAGAGGGACCATCAAGTTAGCATAAAATCTAACCACCAGAGTGACCTATTGATGTATTCATTTAGTGTAAATAGTAAATTTCAAGTAGTAAAGAGTATTTTTGGGATTGTTAGAACTCGGTCCAAGCACCACAACAAAGCATCCAGTCGTGTAAGCCACCTGACACAAAATCCACCGCTCCATTTGTATTTGGGTGGATCGTTTTTCTGAAGTCAATCATCCAAGAGACCTCTAGGAGAGCTCAAACCACTGGCCTTGTGGTTAGCAGTGGAGGACAGTAACTGTCTGTTCAGTGTGGATGAGCTCAAGCAATGGTGTTGTGTGCTATTCAAAACCCAGCCAGGTTTGCTTTTTGAATGAAGAGAAAGAAAGCCAGCATCCTAAATCCCTGCATTGCTCTGCAGAATGTGCACACCACTGTCTGACGGCAGCGGACGTGTGGCCCTGTGAGTGCCATGTCAGGCTACCCGGAAAACCCGGCATAGCACATCCAAGGGCCTTTGCACTTTATCTTAGGTGAGTGACCCAGTGGCGGCCGAATTCAGCTTGAACACCCAAATGTACCTGCTCTCCAAGAAGAGCCTCTGGCTGTCGGATGGATCCATGGGGTTCGGGCAAGAGAGTGATGTCGCTTTTGCAGAAGGTACGGCTTTGACACAGGACATGGCTGCTCACACGGTTGGTGCCATGTGTATAGGGTTGGCATTGGGGGCTCACATTTGAGTGCAGACAGCTATAATCTTTTTTATGGTTTGGCGCATATAACTGAGTATCTGTTTGGCCCTGCTTTGGCCCTGGGGTGTGAATGAATTGGGTCTGTGTCACTGGGTGAGTTTTATTCAGGGCGAGGGGACTTTGGAAACAAGTTCAGATGCTTTATTTTGGGAGTGGTCATCATTGTGGTTGAGGATAGGCACAGCAAAGCATACCCCAGTGCCACCGTGTCGACTAGTACATTTCAGGGACACAAAAATATGTCCTTCAAGTTGTACAGCCACAGTCCTTTTCCAAATTGTCCCTCCCTCATTAGTGTTCATTCACAGCCCCCTATGTTTTCTATCTAATCTTTTACGCAATTGGCATCACTTTGGTCCCGTATAGATAATGCTAAGGGAGCATGAAGCTCAAGCAGATATTCTTTGCTAGTTACCCCCAGGCTCACACACATTTCTCTCATACCTATCTCTATGGACATGCGTCAAGTCGACATGCAAACGAAACCACACATTTTCTTTAAGAGCAACCTCTTTTGTTTTAAAAAAACAACACAATTATCCACCATGGACTGATAAATGAAACTACATGATTCCTCATCTTTAACATGACACAACGTTTGAGACGCTGGTTTGAAGCACCATAAGGATTCCCTGGGTCGATCAGTCAGACAATCTCTGCTGCATTGTTTGTCTTCACAGTTGAAGTTTACTTTCTAAGAACTTTATGACTACATGTATATTTACTACTGAAGTAATAATTCATGAATGAAGTCATTTAGTAGAATTAATACTCACTTAATGTTCACGTCCAATTGATGTGCATCCATAGATAGTTATACCACATGGAGAAGTCCAAGAAGAGCAAGCATAGGAAAAATGAGTTTGGGTGTCTGTTTGTCTTGTTAAATGGATAGACGTGAGCATAAATGATGGGCAGTAAATGTAAACAGTTCCTATCAGTATTGTTGAGGAAAATCAACATGCACCAGGAAGATGTGTCCTATAAGCCTAGTGTTAAACTAAACTATTGCCACTCCTGTATGTTAAGAGGACATCATGGAGTATTTTGGAGTTACAGTTTAAAAATTATCTCAGGGTAATAGTTGTGGGGGTTCATCCAGTCTCTATGGATCCAGAAAGGATAGAGGCCATGAGAATCTGAAATTCTGTTCCACATTTCCCCTCTATGATCAGGCATAGTGGGTTATGCTGGCTACAAAGTCAGCAGTTCAAAACCACCAGCTTCTCTGTGGAAGAAAGATGAGACTTTCTAGTCCCATAAACATTCCTAGTCCAGAAAACCCACAGGGGCCATTCCATTCTCTCCTACAAGATCGCTTTGGGTTGGAATCCACTCAATGGCAGTGAGGTGAGCATATTCTTAACTACCGCAGACACATCAGAGGCGAATGCTTCAAGGGCAAGGACTGGGCCCTTCTGTTCAATGGTATATCCAAGTCCATTGGAGCTAACCAGACTTTGTTATCAATGTTTTCTTCTTCGGTGTTGTTATGCATTGTACTGATGTACTTAAGTAACTTATAAACTGGCTTCCACCACAATGGGATGCTATGAATGTCTAAGTATAAGCCAGAGACTAGTTTCATTGTTCGTTAAGCATCTGGCCAGTCAATCTTCCGCCTCTTGTGACCAGTTCACAGAGTGGCCTTCTTTAGGGAGCTCTGGGGCAGAAGCAGACAGTGACGTTAGCTAGCCACGCCAAGGACAAAGGCAGTCATTGCAGGTGCCTAAACTGTCTGCGATGCCACAAAGAGGCATCTGGGAGCAGTGACTTTATCACCTAATGACTAATGTGCCCTTGTCTGTGCTGTAGGTGACACCATTTATGGCCGCGTGATGGTAGACCCGGTGCAGAACCTCGGCGATTCCTTCCACTGCAGCATTGAGAAGGTGTTCCTCTGCACAGGCGCCGACGGCTACGTGCCCAAGTACAGCCCCGCCAATGCGGAATACGGCTGCTTGGCGGATTCGCCTTCACTCTTATACAGATTTAAAATTGTGGTGAGTGCTTTGACCAAACAATGAAACTAGAGAGACATTTTGTAAGGAATTTTACAGACTATTATAAGAAAAAAGAGTCTCCTAAATGAAAAGGTAGATAGAACAGGTCTTGTCAGCGAAATAAATTCAAGACTTACATATCTACCAACAGCAAAAAAAGAAAAAAGAAAAAAGAAAGACAAAGAAACGTGGCTTTTACACCAAAAGATAAGACTTTGAAAACTACAAGGAGGAGGCCAGGGATGGGTGCAGGAATAAGGAGAGGGGAGAATAGGAAATTATAGAGGCATAGAGGGAAAAAATAAAGAAAGAGCCACGTTTATGGGGCACTAGCGGGATTTTCCTACTAATTTCATTTGTTGAGATGGGCTGTATAAGTGTATAAAATGTCTCTCTGAAAACCAAAATTTTAAAGGAGAAAAGAAAAAAAAAAAAAAACCCAATTCCTTACCCCTCAGACCTGACTGTTGGTCTGAGTTGCTAAGAAGAAAAGGAGGAGAAGTCAACCTGAAGGAGACTTGAGGCCTCTAATGACATACAAGTTCATTTCACACTTACGAACAAAGAAAGAAGCTGGATAGATAGATGTATGTACATATTTACTGAAGCCATTTTAAACAAGAACATCTTATTAAATCGGGCAGACCAATCAGTGACATCCATGGTGATTTCAATCTGCTCAAACGATCGGGAACATGTTGTGACATCTGACACATTCATCCTTTTCCTTGTCACTTCTAGGACAAAGCGCAGCCTGAGACCCAAGCCACCAGCTTTGGAAATGTCCTGTTTAATGCCAGACTGGCAGTGGATGACCCCGAAGCCATTCTCTTAGTGAATCAGCCTGGATCGGATGGGTTCAAAGTCGACTCAACACCCCTCTTCCAGGTGAGCCAAAGACGAGCCGACTTCCAACAGATGTATTAGCATGTGCTACGTCTTCACCGCACTGTGGTGGGGCAAACAGCTCACAGGTGAAGCTGCTAACTGAAGGCTGGAAGTTCAAATCCACCCAATAGAATCCAAAACGCCACGCTTGCTTCTCTCGAGTCAATTCCAACTCATTCTGACCCTGCGGGAAACCCCATTTGGGTTTCTGAGGCTGTGAATCTTCACAGCAGCGGAAAGCCTCCTCTTTCTCCTGGAGAGCTCCTGGTGGATTTGAACCACCAACCTTTCAGGCAGCAGCTCAAGTCATAGGCTACTATGCCACCAAAACAAACAAACGAAAAACAGACTCACTGCCAATGAGTCACTGCTGACCCATCGCGACCCTATCGGCCAGGGTGGAACGGCCCCTGTGAGTGATGGAGATGGCAGCGCTGCATGGGAGGAGGAAGCACCATGTCTTCCTCCCGCGGAGCAGCTGGTGGTTTTTCACTGCCAACCTGTGGCTCGCAGCCCAACTCATAACCACTAACTGCTCCACCAAACCAATCCAGCCCAATCAATGGTGACTCGCAGCGACCCAAGTGCGTGCGTAGCTGGCACCAGAAGTCGTTCTCCCTCTGCGCGGCTGGTGGGTTCCGACTGCCCACCATGCAGATTGCAGCCCAAGGTGTAACCATGCCACCACCAGGTCGCCTTAACCCACTTTCTTCTGAAATCCACCATTGGAAACCCCATGGGGCGCCAGCTTTGACACATATGGGGACACAGGAAGTCAGGGTAGATGCGAACTCAGAGATTTGACCTCTCATGCCTGAGATGTCCATGGCAATCATAGTCATTGGTCGAATAGTTCATGTGAACTTTGAACAGAAGATATGGCATCCACAAAGCACCGTCCTGGGCCTGTGGTGAGCATCCCTTAAATCTGAGCCATTAGGATGTTTATCAAGATGTTGCCATTCTTTCATTGGGTGATCCGAGCTTTAGTCTGTATCTTCAGATGTGGATCCAAATCTGTCAGTGGGGAGTTCTGCTTTTCCTATTCAGAACCTCCTTCCTCTCTTCTCCTGACCCTATAGAATGACCTTGGGCACACTGCTCAATTCAGAAGAGGCAGATGGACACACAGAATTTCCCCTCTCAAACACTTCATGAGCTGAGATGGAAAATGCTGATGCCGAGAGAGGAGATGCATGGGGGGAGGGGGGAGGGGGCAGTCCTGAAGCCATAGCACATGGAGCACAGGATAGAGCTGTGTTCCCCTTGTGACTACCTGCAAAAACAAGGGCCCTTCAGAACTGTGCTGACAGTTGCCTGGGTCTGACAGGCATGGGGAAAGCTGTGATCCTTCTACCTGTGGGGGCAATAAGAAGGAAGCGCCTTCATTATTCTGCATCTTTCCCAACAGAAAGTTGCAGTCGAAACTTGGGGTGGGGGGGGAGGCTTGTTTTCATTTTTACTGTCAGTTCTCAAAATAGCTGACCAATCTAATTCTGAGTGCTTCGAACATTGGTCAGAACCTTCCTTCCTTCTACAGGCCCTGGGAAAACCTGCAAAGGGGCTCTGAGAGAGAGAGAGAAGTGAGAGAGACTCTGCGCGCGCGCGAGAGTTGGGCTGTAGTTGTGGGTTGGGCTGTAGTTGCAAGGTCAGCAGTTTGAAACCACCCTCCTCTTCTGGGGAAAAAACGGTGCCATTATTCCACTTGAAAATCATAGTAAACCAGGCCAGCAAACCATCCCATGTTCTAACAAAATAATGTTATGCCTCCCAGGTCTCCCTGGGCCGAGAATGGTACCTACATGCCATCTATACAGTGCGATCCCAGGACAACGCTCAGCGAGGTATTGGCAAAAGAAGCGTAGAGTACCAGTACCATTCTCTGAGCCCCGCGATGCCCCCGGCATCCTCCACGAGCCACAAGAGGAGGGAGGTCAGGAGCACACCCCCGCTGACGTGGGAAATCGGTGCTGAGAAGAACCGGGGCACAAACATACTGCACATCGCCCTGGACCGAGTCGACAAGAAGCAAACCCCACAGGGGAGAGCCCCACCCGATGGTGTCCTGCCTCGTGAGCTCAGCCCCTCCCGCTCAGACATCAGCCTGCTCACAGTCGTCGGAGGCTTCGCCGTGGGGCTGCTCGCTGTCGGCCTTACTGTCATTGCAGTCCTGATGTGCAGGAGCAAAGGAAAGCCCAGGAGGAAGGATGCTCCCAGTGGCTCAGGCAGCAGCGAGCCCATGATGCCGTCCCAGGGCCTCAGCAGTGACAGCTCAGAGGTTTGACCCCTGCACCTGGAACCCAAAAATGTCCCAAGTGCCTCAAAAAAGACCACGGTGCACCCCCAAAGGCTTCATTTGGGAAGCCGCCCAAGCCATGAAGAAGCTGCCCCACAGGACTTGCCAATACTCATGTACTTTGATTTGAATTCCATCTCCCTTTCCATGCCTCAAAGGACACCTCTCTTCTCCCTGGCCCAGAAGACAGCCACGATGTATTCACACAAATACAGAGCCACAGGTGACCAGCGAGGAACGTCTTTCTCGCTCCAGACATTTCCTCCGTATGGTGCCGGAGCTGGGCCTCTTTTAAGGTGCTACCAGACTGTCAACATGTTCATGAGAACATTATTATGATTGCTACAGAGTATGAAATGTGAAGGTGCAGCGATCACTTGTTTATGCATTTGCTAACAGTGTATGATTCCAAAGTTCTAGTTGCTAGCCTGCCCGAAGGATAAGCCTGCTATTTATTAGGACAAGGTATCTAATAGACACAGACCACATAGAATTATGACCAGGGGTGCCTCCACCACCACCCCCATCCCCCTAAAAACATCTTCTCTACTTGAGAAAGCTGGAGGAGAGGAGAGGAAGGTAGAGAGGCAACATGCTCGCAAGGGTTTGGTGTCTTCCTCATTGTCCATCGTCCCCCGGTTTCATTTGCTCGTTCCCGTTTGTATTGGACAACAGACTATGTTCTGTCTGTAAGAGATTGTTTCCGGAGCAGAGTGACTGCACGGTAATAGTCCTTATTGGTGCTCGATGCTTGCGGGACAGGAGGCGGCTCGTGACATTGTGGTAATGATGAAGTGCTGTCAGTTCTATTCACATTGACAGGACCATGTTCTCTGGGAACTGAGCCGAACACATGCTGGCAGCCTTGATCCCATGAGTGATTAGGGGAAACGCGCATGCAGATGCGGAAGGGAGAAAGTCCTATTTATTAACAGGATGGTGTTTAACCAGGGTGCCTCGCATGCCTGTTTGATGTCACATGGGAACCTCCTGAGAGATGTGGTCAGCCCTCGGAGTAGCCATGTCCAGAACCTCAGGCCGCCCTAGCCCTACTCATGGCCATCAAGTCAGTGTACAGTTGTTCTCGATGGCTGTGACCTTTCGGGAGCAGATTGCCAGGCTTCCCTTCCGCGGTGCCTCTGGGTAGATTTGAATAGTTAGTAGCCACACCCTGGAACAGGTGTGCCCCTTAGACTCCTAAGTGGGCCACAGCCCATTGCTTTCTAATCAGCATTTGGTCCAAATGATGGGGTTGTCTGAAACTGTCACTCAGAAATGGACGTGGAGCTGGCTAGGGCATTGTCGATCCCATCCTTCTTTGTCACCAAAGAAAGCTCCCCAGGCCAGTGGACAAAGGCAGTGAGATCCCTCTCCAGATCTGAAAAATACCTTTTGTGGCACAACTTACCAGTCACCCCGCAAAACCAAGGGGCTTGAGTGAGATTCCCCTGACAGTTCCTCCATTGACCCCCAACCAAACTCACTGGTGTGGAGTCAATGCCGACTCTTGGGGATCCCATAGGACTAGGTGGAGCTGTGCTCCCTGAGGATTTATCAGACTGTAATGCTGCACCAGAATAGAACTCCTTGTCTTCCTTGCGAGCCGCAGCTGATGGTTTCAAACTACTGACCTTATGGTTAGCAGCCCTACACATAACCACTATACCACAGGCACGGGCTTTTGTTGGTTGTTGGGTTTGGGTTTTTCACCAATGGGCAAAAGGGCCGTTTGCAAGGAGAAAAGCCCAGTAGTTCGACAAT